AGAGAAACTGAATACCAGTGATCAAGATTTTTGCCATAGTGTGAATGCAGTAGTACAAATGAATGAAAGTGATTGCGTCCAAAACAGGGAACAGTGGATTGGTCATCGAAAATTTAAGGAGAATATCAGTATGAAAGGAAGTGAACATGAAAAGAATAAGACCACAGTATGCAAGGATAAAGGTATGAAAGAAGTGAAGAATGCAAAAGACGAGAAAAAGTTGTTAGGTGTTAAAGAGACACCAATCGTACTGAATGAAAGAGAAATAATGAATAGTGAGAAAGCACATAACCCATCAAACCTAAAAGCTTCATCCAGTGTTAAATTATGTGAAGATGATAATTACCAATCATATATTACTGATTTGATACAATTATCTGACCCAAGTGCACCCCAACTAGCTGCTGCAGTAACTAGAAGCATGACTGATACCATAAAAAACAAAGCTAAAAGAAGAGAACTTAACAACAGAACTGGTACCCATTACAAAAGAAAGCAGTAACAGCCAAAGAGAATTTCAAGATGCCCAAGTATCTGATCCATCGCTAAAGAAATGTTTTGATTTGGTTCATACAGACCCAGTAGTAAAGAAATTTGCAACATGGAAATTTATTTTATCAAAGAATGTACTACTTAGAATATATCAGAGAGGTCCAAAAATCTATAAACAGACGGTACTACCACAAAAATTCAGACCAAAAGTTCTATCATTAGCACATGATTCCATCTTCTCTAGGCATATGGGAATAACAAAAACTAAGAAGAGGATTCTATCTACATTTTATTGGCCTGGGTTTTCTAAAGACGTAAAAAATTATGTTCGACCTTGTGATACCTGAGCTAAAACCACACAAAAAAGGAGGGAACCCAAAGGCCCCAGTGCAAATCGGTCTGATTGCATCAAGACCATTTGAACAAGTTGCAATTGATATTGTTGGCCCATTACCAGTGACTTCAGCAAAGGGAAACAGGTTTATTTTAACTTTTATTGATTTTGCCACAAAATGGCCTGAGTGTGTACCTATGAAATTTATAACATCAAATGATATTCAGGAGGCATTGTTAACAATTTTTTCAAGGGTGGGTTTTCCAGAAGTTATTATTTTTGATAAAGGTACTCAGTTTACATCCTGGGCTACAAAAGCTTTTAATAACTGGTTAGAAATTAAACAAAATTTCACAACACCGTATCACGCACAAGCTAATGGCTTAGTTGAAAATTTAAATAAATCCATAAAAACAATGCTTGCCAGAATATCATTTGAACATCCGCAGTCTTGGGATACTTTATTACCTGCCATTATATTTGCATATAGAGAAATTCCTCATAGCTCAACAGGTTTTTCGCCATTTGAACTTGTATATGGGGCAAATCCTCGAGGGCCATTGCAGCTATATAATAAGCTTATCACAGGAAAAACAGAAACGGATACAGAAAAATCAGCTTATGAATCAGTAACAGATCTGAGAAATAAAATAATGATTGCTTGTCAACAAGCAAATGAAACAATGAAAGAAGCAAGTCTAAAACAGCGATAGTATGCGAACAGAATAGCAAGACTTGTGAAATATAACTCTGGTGATGAAGTGTTATTACTGTTACCAAAGAAGTCAGATAAGTTATGTATAGAATGGTCAGGTCCTTTTGTTGTTACAAGAAAGATTTCTGATGTTGATTATGAAATCAAAATTGATGAAAAGCTCAAAATTTTTCCTGTAAACATGCTTAAACCATATTTTAGAAGATCACTATTGATGTCAGATGATGAGATAATTGATGCAAATTCATGTAATGTAATTAATGAAGAGTTACCTGATGTTATAGAAGAAGATATTCCAACACCATCAACAAAGAATGAAGTCAAATGGAAATCGATAAAGTTAAATGAAGAACTATCAGAAAATGAAAAAGCAAAATTGTGGAGCATCATTTTTCATTACAAAGATATTTTCACAAATAAACCTGGGAAAACTAACATAATCAATTACGATATCCAGTTGAATTCATCAGTGCCAGTGAAATCTAAACCATATGTAATACCTATCCATTATATCGATAAAGTTATATCAGAATTGCAACAACTACATAAAAAGGAATCATTGAAGATTCCACATCAAACTACAGTTCGCCTTTTGTGGTAGTAAAGAAAAAAGATGGTTCACTACGTTTGTGTGTTGATTATAGGAAACTAAACCAAATTACCTATTTAGAAACTGAGCCCATCCCTTCGTCAGATGAAATCATACAAGAATTATACAACTCAAAATTGTTCACAAAAATTGACCTTTCAAAAGGCTACTGGCAAATACCACTAACATCAGAAGCTGTAAAATATACTAGCTTTCAAACTCCAATTGGACTCAAACAATGGTTGCGTTTACCATTTGGGTTAATAAACGCTCCGAAAATTTTCACAAAAATGGTTAGGAAACTATTATATGCAATTCCTCACGTCACAGCATACATGGATGAAATCTGTATACACACGAAAACATTGCACGACCACTGCATTACCCTACAAAAAGTCCTATCAAGAATAAATGACGCAAAATTGACTGTGAATCCTTAAAAAACTGAAATTGCATACACCAAAATTGATTACTTAGGACATGTTATATGTGAAGGTTTAGTCCAGACACATGAAGACATTGTTTCGAAAATTTTGAAGATCCAAAAACCTAAAACTAAAAAGCAGCTCCAATCTCTACTAGGGTTAATAAACTATTATGGTAAATTCATCCTAAATTTAGCAGCACTAACATCACCACTATCAGAGTTATTAAAGAAACAACAATTGAAAAATCAGATTGGAATGAAACACATGAGGTAATTCTAATTAAAATAAAAAAAAACTGTTTTTCAAAATATCCTATTTTGAGACAACCTGACCCTTCCAAAATATGTTTTTCACAATCAGATGCCAGCGGTCACACAATAGCTAGTATGCTTGCGCAGAAACATTCACAAACATTACTCCCAGTAATGTATATGTCACAGAAACTCAACCAAACTCAACAAAAATACAATACATTTGAACGAGAAGCGTTGGCACTAGTCATTAGTTTAAAAAAGTTTCAGAAGTTTCTTTTGGGAAAAGAATTCACTTTTTTGACAGATAACTTAGGGTTAACAAAATTATTAACAATTGATGCCAATAGCAATCCAAGGGTATATAGATGGGCATTGTTGATATCACAATTCAAATTCAACATTGAACACATCAAAGGAACAGACAATCATTTACCAGATATCATGTCGCGTTTGTAGAATATGTTGCAACTGCTAATACAACTTGTATTGACTGGAATCATTTTATGCAAGGGTATACATTGTATTATTGAATGAATGTATTATATGAAATTACAACTTGGAAAAATGTAAATGTTTTGATTGGAACGGGTATAATATAGTAAATAATTAGAATTAAAGGGAGACAACATTAAGAGTCAAAATACACCTCAGCAGAAAGTGTTACAGTTACTAGTATACTAAATTGAATTGGTGTAGCATTTAATTTAAATATGTATGTCAATGAGACATGCTGTAGTGTCGGAAGACAAGGTAATTAACTAAATCTTGTACCTTACATATTGGGTGCAGACCATACATTGCTGATTTAGCCATTGTTGGGGGCTTTCATGAATGGGAATAGCCAGGGTGGGACTTCATGGGGTCACACTTCGGTTTTAGAGCCAAGATGTTGGACTTCCGCACCAAACGGGGGGTGCCTGGAGAGGGGTTCGGTTGTATACCGGCTTTAGAACTGGGTGGGGATACCTATGGATCCAGATTATTGGTCTTCCGCACTAAAAGGGGAGTGCCTGGAGTGAGGATCCCAATAAGGTTGGAAATGAACTTGTCGAAAATGATTCACTACAAAGGTCTAGAATCACCATAATTCAGTGGAATGTTCACACCTGGATTGATTGAAAATGTACAACATTTTTTTTGGGGGTGGGGGAGAGTGTAGTGAGTTTCATTTCTCCCATTAATTTATGCCCGACAGATGACGTCAGTACTAAATGTAAGGGAAATGTTTGACTGACTGGATATAACACGAGATTTGTGTCTTGAGTTTCATGGGATACATATGAAGTCAGGTTTTATGTGAAACATGATTGTTAACGTGAACCAAGAAGGGTGATGGCAGGTTTCGTGTGAAATGCGAAAAATCATGGGCCAGACACGATTTCAGCGGCGGGGAATTCGTGGAGAAGAGAATAAAAGTATACAGAATATTCGAGAAGAAACTGACAGAGATTAGAGAGCTATATAATAGCGGAGAAAGGACTGAGAGGCAGGTCTCGTTTGGATCCAGGAACCAGTGCGCATGGACAGGAAGGACGTGTGGTAGTCTACGTGGTGTTGAGCGGATGTGTTCCTTTCCAACTTGGCGGAGAAGCTGGCAGACAAACTGTTTTTTCCTGCGGGCAATGTTGGTTATTTCTGTTACAACAGCTATGTGTTTCGTAGTGTAGGAAGATTGTGATTTCTGAAGAAGGTAATGAAAGTCTAGCATTTACTATTTTCAGTGATCGTGTGTGCCTGGACAATAGTCTGGTTTCATGTGCCGGATGAGGTAAGCTCCGCGAGCAGGAAATTAAAGTACTGAACAGTATCGTGTTGTTGTTCCAATCGTCCATTTACTGCTCGTCATGTGATGTCGGTACGTGAGCGTTGCGATGATGCGAGCCAGATAAAGATAGAAGAGAATCATCGCAGGTTGTAATACTTGCTTTTTCCCATACCTCAGAGTTTATGAACCATGTAACACAGTTACATTTGGGCACTCCTAACGGTGACAATGCAAGCTACAGTCCAATGTGAAAATGGATCCTTATATGACACTGTATAGGTATGTGCAACAGACAGACATAGGATGGCATACATACTGAAGAATATACACTACGAATACATACATACAGACAAAATACATACATCATCATCATTATGGATGTCCTTTGGAGAACGTCGCTCTCGTCACGTGACACCTGAAACT